TCTGCAGAGACTCAGAAAAACACACCAACCACAGTTTCAGACCCATTGATGAAGCTGCACAACAACACAAGAAGGAACTTCAGGAAACTCTGGAGTCCTTAAAGAAGAAGTTGATGGTTTGTGCAGAACTTCAAGTGAAGTTTGATCAAATAACAAAACACATTAATGTCCAGGCCCGACACACAGAGACTCGGATTAAGGAGAAGTTTAAGAAGTTTCGCCAGTTTCTAGCAGAGGAAGAGGAGGACAGGCTGGCTGCACTGAGGGAGGAAGAGGAGCAGAAGAGTGGGATGATGAAGGAGAAGATGGAGTCCCTGAGCAGACGCATAGCTGCTCTTTCAGACACAGTCAGAGCCACAGAGGAGGAGCTGAGAGGTGAAGACATCTCATTCCTGAACAACTACAAGGCTGCAGTGGAAAGAGTCCAGCACTGCCCCCTGCTGGATGATCCACAGCTGCCCTCAGGAGCTCTGTTAAACCAGGCCAAACACCTGGCCAATCTGACCTTCAACATCTGGAACAACATGAAGGACATGGTCTCCTACACTCCTATCATTCTGGACCCAAACAATGCTCATCCAGAACTCATCCTCTCTGAGGATCTGACCAGTGTGAGACGAGGAGATGAACAACAGCTTCCTGATAATCCAGAGAGGTTTGATCGGTTCTACTCCGTCCTGGGCTCTGAAGGCTTTGACTCTGGGACTCACAGCTGGGATGTCGAGGTTGGACAGAGTACATGGTGGAACCTGGGTGTGTTTGCAGAGTCTGTGCAGAGGAAGGGAGACAGATTGTCTGGATTATGGAGAATAAGGTTCTATGAAGGTAAATATTACGCGTGGTCACCATCAGCTCCAGACACTGCTCTCCCAGTACAGAAGAAGTTTCAGAGGATCAGAGTGAATCTGAACTGCAACAGAGGAAAGCTGTCGTTCTCTGATCCTGATACTAACACACACATACACACCTTCACACACACTTTCACTGACAGAATGTTTCCATTCATTAACACTGTGGTTGGTAAATTGAAGGTTCTGCTGTAGAAGGTGTCATTGTCAGTGTCAATTAATTCATTATAATTATATTTTAACGTTGTTACAAACCTGTTAAACTGCAGCTGTCCTCCTGCTGCCTTATTGTTCCAAAGCTCTTTATTACTCACACTGTTCTCACTCTTTCTTTGTTTCTGCTGTCCAC